ACTACATTATGTTACCATATTAGTTCAATTCAAAATTTCCAATTCTTTCACACAGGACGTGATTATTTAGTCAACCGCAGAAGATGCACTCCTGAACTCACCACTCCTCGGATATCTGGGGTATTACCATCAGGGCGTTTGGAACTCTCTCGTCTGCAAGAACAGACATTTCTCTCAGATATCGGAGTGGCGACAATGTCTGAAGGGGAAAAACCTTCATTTCTTCGGTGACTCTACGATACGGCAGTGGTAGGAACACTTGGTAAGAATCATGAATTTGACAGAAACGCAAATTCCGGAAGCTATATCCTGGACTGGACCATTATTTGCCAGTGATCCTGTTTATAACATAACGGTTAGCTATCGGTCCCACGGACCGCCGGTTCGATGTCCATGGACTCGCACGCCTTTTATCAAGTACGTCGCAAACGCAATTGATGAAATTAAAGGAGGACCAAACGTTGTGGTCGGCATCACCATGTGGGCACATTTCACCTCGTACCCTGTGGAGGTCTACATGAAAAGGATGGAGGCCGTCCGTGCTGCAGTAGAACGTCTGTTTCACAGGAGTCCAGAAACACTTGTAGTCATCAAGTCGGCAAACACGCGGGAGGGAGACACGATCACTGCCGGGGACTGGCACGCGTACAAACTGGACTTGGTGATGAGGGAAGTGTTCCGCGGGATGAACGTTGTTCTTGTAGATGCCTGGGAAATGACAAACGCGCAGCACTGGCACAAGGACGACATCCATCCTGCCGAGGATATCGTTACACAGGAATTAGAGTATTTCTGTTCATTCATTTGTCCCTTATGAATTCTCAAAGATTTGTTTATTGTTGATTAGGTCCGTTTATTCTAACCCAATTTTTTGCATGGTGATCTTAGACAACCTTGCAAAAAGTTTTTTAATTTTTTTTAAATTTTTTAAGCAAGGCTAAAGCATTAGAACATGGTCAGTACCCCCCAGCCAATGAGAGTCCTTCATTTTCTGTGGTTTTATCCCCAAACTGCAAAAAAACGGTGATACTTTTCAAAAAGTGTGGTACTAAAACTTGTTTGCACAAGATTAGAACCACACTTTTTGGTTAGTACCACATTTTTTTTGTTTTAATTAGAACTAGGTCCCTTCCTTGTGCAGGCTAATTACCCAAGCGACAAAAGGATTGAAACATGATTTATTGAACAAGAAAATCTGAAATTCATCATGAAAACCTAAAATATTGAAAAAGTTTGAAAGAAAACGCAGGACCAATGGCCATGTTGTAAATCAGATAGACCATGGGTTTGGGCTTCTTTACTGGGATAAAGTTTTCCCAACCTACTTGGGGACTGCCTGACACCTTCGGCTGTCGCCTCGAGAGTCAGGCAGTCCTTTTGTGGGCGTGCCAACACCATATCCAAGCAAGCTTGCAAGGTCCATGGTCTATTTATTACTTTAAGCATTTAAAGTAAAGTCGTACTATCCATTTAGCACTAAATGCAGATTACAATAGATGGAATTATCGGTTAGTTAACCCTCAACAGTACACTTTCTCGAACTAATTAATCTGTACACCGGACCCCAGAACAGTTTTTTGCTACTTTTTTTTGAAATTATCAACATGCTACCAGCTCAATTGTTTTGCAAATTGATGTGAACCTCTGAGCCCGCATTATGTACGAAAATCATACATTTTATTATTTTTTTTTGGTGAAAAAAAGACAAAAAGAAGAAATACTTAATTTTAAACCCTATTCAGACCGAGTGGTATTTTGAGGCCCGCGCCACTTTAATCTCAAAAAGCGCCTGAACGGCTTAAGCTCGAACCATCGAATTTGGTGACCTTTCCTAAAATGTATCTCGAAATAACTTAATATTTAGTTAAATAAGTTTATGATTATTTGTGTTGCCATGGCAACGGGTTTCTGACAGGCAGTTTTTTATCTTTAATTTTGGTTTGAACATAAACATTTTCTGGGTTTTATATTAAATAACTTTCCTATTTGACATTAATGACATCTTAGATGATTAAAGATAAGATAAACCATTTAGTATTATAATATATGCTAATTTGATTACGTCATTGGTCGAAATCCAAGATTGCGGACCATATTATTATCTCTGACGTCACATGACGTCATAATTACACCAAAGTTGTTGGAATTTAATTCCATTAGTAAACTATTCTCTGAAAATTTGGTGGCCATACGATAAGTGCATAAAAAACATATACAACGGAAATAAAGTAATGTATAAGAATGCCAGTGTATCCAATCTGCAACTGACAGGGGAAGGTTTCAGGGATTAAAGAGCATTTATTACGTTGTCGTTCTTAGATTTTGTTTTAATTACCAACAGATAATCATTAGGTTCAGGGTTGGAGTTTAAATCTGACCAGATTTAAATCCAAGTATATAAATGCGCAGTAAATCGCCGGAAACGTGACTTTGTGTCGTATTTATTCCCTTTTGAAAGACTTAAAAGAAAACGCCTCTGCAGTTTCTTAATCATTACAAGTGATGAAAGTCATTTCTGTATCGTTTACATATAATTTAAAATCTACTCAGTACAATCAATTCGAACATAATATCTCTCTAAACAGTTGTCGTTACTATATCATAAGGTCCTGGTATTTGGAGAACGTCGACTGGTCAATTCCCCGTATTTGTATGTATGTACAGGTATTACAATTTTCATGGTGAAAATCCAGGAGAAGTTATGCTTACTTTCTGGCGTTCCCAAGCAAGGATGGTACAATGCGTGACTTAAGATTCTGTAGGGCTGAAACCTCTGTAAATTGTAATGCAGTTTGTGGACTGGTAGTTGTATTTTCCTCTCTTACAAAGTTCAGGACAGCTGTTAGCCATTTCAAACATCACATTAACACTAAGAGCAATGTTAACAGTAATGCTACCTGAGTAAAAAAAAACGTATGATGGTATCACAATAATTGACATACAATAAATACAAATATGCTAATATCATACATGTGCATTAACAACATCATCAGCTGTAACTATGGACGATACCATAGTACTTGTACCGCAGGCTGTCGACCTATTCTGATGCGGTACATTAAACATTGCTTAAATGCAAAAGTACTTTAGTAACAAAAACTTATATTCAACAAAGCTTTTAAATCGCACATTGATGACATACTTTATAGTCAAGTCACAGAAATTATGCAACTTTTGGCATATTTTGATGCTTATCAAGGCCCGGCTTGTTTTTGTTCCAAATTAGTTTTCTTTAAGCCTTGCTTTACATACAGTATAACAAACACCAAAAAGATAAAGACAATCAAATATCAGTATTCAAAAAACTATATACAGCTCAATACGTCACAACAAAATCGTTGTCCATACTCGTACATGTAGTCCTATTCCGCGCCGGTCGTGCAAGCTCATCGCTGTTGTAGGCCACAGAGAACGTGGCACAGAGGGTCCTCTTTTTTCAATGATTTAACTTTTTAAGCAAAATGTGTGTTTGTTTCTGATATTGTATTGAACTGCCAAAAAACAGTTACTCAAGCAACTGGATATGATTTTGAAAACGTCAGACGTTTCAGCTAGTATCCACTAGCTTTCGTCAGTGACTGAGAGACCAGAGGGGAAAGCAGGTTTATATATACAACCTGTTGATTGATATGCAAATAAAGTGAAGACAAATTTTTGGAAGTCGAAAAAGGAACAAAAGTCAGACAAGTCAAGACAAGATGATGCAAATTAGTCTGAAAGCTCCTGTTATACAGGACAGGAGCTTAAGTGTTGTCTGTCCTCGGGGCTGGGAGTGCCAAATCCCAAGTGCCGGAAAGATCGACCCGTAGCCCCCCTTCCCTGTTGAGGGTGGGGTTGTACATTCTTTCATATATTGCCTCTTTAACACCCCGTTCCCACCAGCGTGTTTCGCGGTCTAAGACATCTGTGGACTCGAGTTTGAAAGAGTGACCCTGGTTGTGTTGTAGGTGGTGGAAAATAGCTGAGGAGTAGCCGTTGGCACTAGGTCGGCAATGTTCTTTGTACCTTACTTTAAGCGGTCGACTTGTCTCTCCGATGTAGGTGTTGTTACAATTGGGCTCCTCACATTTGAGTCTGTAAATAACATTCGCCTTGGTACCCTTGTGAGGTCGGTCCTTAGGGTGTACCAGTCTTTGTCTGAGGGTTGAGTGAAGTTTGAAGTTAGTGGCTATGTTGAAGTTTTGGAAGATCCGTCGGAGTTTCTCAGATACTCCTTGGACATACGGAATAGTAATGTTGGCCTTGTTTTTGTTGGTCAATGGTTTGCACTTCTGGGTTTTCTTAGACTGATCTGAACGTTTGAGCGCTCTGTTGAAAGTCCAGTTTTGGTAGCCACATTTAGCCAGGGCACTTTGGAGGTGTCTTTGTTCGTCCGTTTTGGCTTGGTCTGAAGTGACAATGTTGTCTGCACGATGGAAGAGAGTTTTGATCACTGCTAGTTTGTGTTCCAAAGGGTGGTGGGAATCAAAAGCCAGGTACTGATCAGTGTGGGTTGGTTTCCTGTACACTTCGAAACGAAGGTTACCATCTTCCTCTACGATAGTTTTGGTGTCTAGGAAAGGGAGCATGTTGTCATGGCTTGGCTCCTGTGTGAACTTGATGTTGTCATCTATCTGGTTGATGTGGTCGAAGAAGTCAGCAGCTACCCTCTTTTTCAATCTGCACCAAGTGTCATCTACATATCGAAACCAGTTGGCCGGGGGAGTGTCATTGAAAGTGCTGAGGGCTTTGTTTTCAAACTTCTCCATGTACAGGTTTACAACAATTGGTGAGACTGGTGATCCCATAGCACAGCCGTGCATTTGTTGGTAGAACTGTCCTTTGTAGGTAAAGTATGTGCATCCTAAGCAGGGTTCTAGTAGCTCACAAACTTGGTCAACGGATAGGTTGGTTCTATCTGCAAGTGTATCATCGGCTTCCAAGGCTTCCTTGACTACTGTCACTGCTTCCTTGGGTGGTATGGAGGTGAAAAGTGAGCACACGTCATACGAAGTGATGGTTTCATCATCCTCTACATGAATGTCTTTGATTTTGTTGACAAAGTCGGCACTATTCTGTACATGGTGCTGAGATTTCCCCACTAGTGGTCCTAAAATCTTGGCTAGAAAACCTGCTAACTCATAGGTGACAGAGCCTATACTGGAGACTATGGGTCACCCTCAACAGGGAAGGGGGGCTACGGGTCGATTTTTTTGCACTCCCAGCCCCGAGGACAGACAACACTTAAGCTCCTGTCCTGTATAACAGGAGCTTTCAGACTAATTTGCATCATCTTGTCTTGACTTGTCTGACTTTTGTTCCTTTTTCGACTTCCAAAAATTTGTCTTCACTTTATTTGCATATCAATCAACAGGTTGTGTATATAAACCTGCTTTCCCCTCTGGTCTCTCAGTCACTGACGAAAGCTAGTGGATACTAGCTGAAACGTCTGACGTTTTCAAAATCATATCCAGTTGCTTGAGTAACTGTTTTTTGGCATATCGTATTACCTGGATGTCTAACCTTCATCGACGTATTGTATTGAACTACTTATTTAAACGTGTTTGGATAGATTTTAACGGTCGGATGCCGCATCACATACTCATAGTCTGTAAGGTTTGTTAACCCAGTAAAAGTTTCGTGTGTATTGCATTTGTCAGGTAAGGCCACACCAATTTATTTTCTTGGTTAACGGATTTTTGTAGAAAAAAATGGAGCGGGCGGGCGAAAAAAAAATAAAAATAAAAATTTGATACTACCTGCCATACAGCCATGTAGTGTGAAATCCAGACTGCTTATTAAGTTACGAAAATACTGGGAAAGAAACAAAAGGCAAGAGAGGATGTACCGTATTGTGTTTTATTTGCTATCCACACCATTGGGTTGATAATCTTTTCGTACACGAGCAAAATGCAGAAAACAAGTTTTAGCATGTTACTTCCAAGTTCCACCATCATCATATGTACTCTAAAACATGACACGAATGTTAACTCTCACAAGCAATTTTAACTTCAAAGGGGACAAAATTTATTCAATTTTACATGTACTGTACCTAGATTCTGCTTTGATCCAAAGTTCCAGCTTTCTCAAACAATTTAAGCTTCCGCATTTTGTCCGCCATGAGGCTCCAGAACAAAACAAATGACTGAGCCAACATGGTTCCAGAACATCGCATCTGATTGGTCAGAAAGTAAAACAATCCACGATTGGCTACTTTACGTCATGTGACTATGTGTGCAGGAGCGCCTCTAGCGACATTGGTAGGAACTGCAGCAATTTCATTGGGGTCTCCCTGTTCAGGGTATTACCGGCCTGTGGGGTCTAAACTATGACGTTTTTTTTATTTTTATTTTCATTCGGCGAAAAAGCAAGCGGCGAATCCGTTAACCAAGGAAATAAATTGGTGTGGCCTAAAATATGTCTTAGGGTTTTGTGTTATAGCATAGAAAAGGTCGTGGTAAAATAGAATTCATAAAATCATGAGGCTGGCTAGTCTCGCTGGCTTTACCATACATAATGATAATAATCTGTAAGGTGAGGCATTTTATCAGGGATTCGCACTGCGCAATGTTACGGATTTTGAGAGTGATTTTTTCAAGAAAAGCAAGAATGGTGTAAGTTCTGGGTTCCTGGGCCAGAGGTTTTGTCCGGTATTGTTTGTATTTAGATGTGTCCTGTGGTCTAGTGAGGTATTACGGGTGCAGGTAAAGGTTAACCCTATCTAGACCGGGGGGGGGGGCTAAAAGTGCCCGCGCCAACTTTGATGTCACATAGCGTCTGAATGGCTAGGGCTAGAATGACCAAACTTGGTGACTTTTCCTAAAATATTGTTGGCAACAATTTTCTATCATTGAAATAAGATAATAATTTTTGTGTTGCCATGGCAACGGGTTTCTGACAGGCATTTTTTGCTAAATTTTCGAGTCAAGGTAAATGTTGGGACCCTCGTCGTCTTCTTCCTCGGTACCCGAGCCTTGTGGCACTGGGGACTTGATGTTGGTGTGGGTCTGAGAATCTCGTGCCTTTTCCGAGCTAGGAAGGAGTGGTGGGACGTTGAGGTCGAGGTAAATGTTGACGCCCTCTTCTTCTTCCGTCTCCGAGCGTTTTGGTTGTGAAGAGTTGACGTTGGTGTGGGTCCGAGGTTCCGGTGTTTTCTCCGAGCTAGGAGGGAGTGATGGGTCGTTAAGGTCGAGGTAAATGTTGGGACCCTCGACCTCCCCTATTCCCTCCGTCCCCAAACCTTGTGTGTTAGAAGAAGCCTTGTGATGTGGCGATGGCGCCGTTCCCAAGCCTCGTGGTTGTGATAAGACGTTGGAGTTGGCGTAGGCGTGATTCTGTGTAAGTGGATCCGGAATCTCTACCACTTTAGTCGTGTCCGGTGGGTAGTAGTCTCTGCCTTTGCCTGGCCTGTCGGACTTCGGAGGTGGGTTTGTGGTCTTCCTCTCTTCTTTCCTCGAGGCTTTGTTGGGCTTATTGCTTCGGGGATGAGGGTCTTGGTTGGATGTTGCACCTCTTGGTCCCTCCAGGTCTGCAGCATACACAGGGTTTTCCAGCTGCGAGGTTTCGGCATACGGATCAATGGGTGTGTCGTCCGGGATCTCAGCATACGTGTGGTGAATTGGCAGAGGGTTTCCAGTGGCAATAGTAGCGGGTGGTGGCTGCACTTTTTGTAGTGTGTCAGAGGCAGCGCCATGACGTGGGGATGACGACACTTCCAAGCCTTTTGGTACCGGTAAATTCCACACTGTCGTTTGCGCGCCAGGTGGGTAGTAGTCAGAGTCGCTGCCGTTGCTTGGCTTGTCCGACCGTGGAGGTGGCTCTGGGGGCTTCCCCTCTTCCATCCCCGACTGATGTGATGAGGAGTCGTTGACTTCGTTGGGTTTGTTGCTTTGAGGATGAGGGTCTTGGTTTGATGTTGTACCTCTTGGTCCCTCCAGGTCTGCAGCATACACGGGGTTTTCAAGCTGCGAGGTTTCGGCATACGGATCAATGGGTGTGTCGTCCGGGATCTCAGCATACGTGTGGTGAGGCTTCCCAGTGGCGATTACAGTGGGTGGTTGCAGGACGTTTTGGTAGAGGTATTCTTCCGATAGCGGCTGCGGTGTTGCGACGCCGAAGATGTCGCCATTTTTGCCTTCTGCGAAGCCTGCGGCAAGCGGTCGCGACCTTGTACAGGAAGAAGAGAGCGATGCCTGCACTTGACCCGGTGACGATAATCATCACAGTGTGCCATTCTCGCCCATCGCTGCCCAACATTAGTGTGGGCATGTTCAGCACTAAGGACAGGAACATTAGTGTAAGTGTTGGCATGTTCAGCACTAAGGACAGGTACAATAGTGTTAGTGTGGGCATGTTCAGCACTAAGGACAGGGACAGTAGTGTTAGTGTGGGCATGTTCAGCACTAAGGACAGGGACAGTAGTGTTAGTGTTATACATTTTCAGCACTAAGGACATGGACAGTAGTGTTTGTGTGGGTATGTCCAGCACTAAGGACAGTGACAGTAATATTAGTGTGGGTATGTTTAGCACTAACGACAGGGGCAGTAGTGTTAGTTTGGGCATGTTCAGCACTGAGGAAAGGGACAGTAGTGTCAGTGTGGGCTTGATAATTTCTAAGGAGAGGGGCAGTAGTGTTAGTGTGGGTATGTTTAGCACTGAGGACAGGGACAGTAGTATTAGTGTAAGCATGTTCAGCAGTAAGGACAGTAACAGTAGTGTTAGTGTAGGTATGTTCAGTACTAAAGACAGGGGCAGTAGTGTTAGTGTTCTACATGTTTAGCACTAAGGACAGGGACAGTAGTGTTTGTTTGGGTATGTTCAGCACTAAGGACAGGAACGTTAGTGTTAGTGTGGGCATGTTCACCACTAAGGACAGGGACAGTACTGTTAGTGTGAGCATATTAACCCTAAACAGTACACCTGGGGTCCGCGCGGTCACCCCAGCCGGCTTTCGATCATAATGGATACACTGGCGTTCTTATACATTACCTTATTTTCGGTTTTATATGTTTTTATGCATTCATCGTATGTCTACCAAGTTTTCAGAGAATGGTGTAGTAATAGAATTAAATTTTAATAACTTTGGTGTAATTATGACGTCATATGACGTCAGAGCTAATATTATAGTCCGCCATATTGGATTTTGACCAATGACGTCATTAAATTAGCATATTATATGCATATTACATGATTTAACTTATATTTAATTATGTAAGATGTTATTAATGTTGGAAAAGAAGTGTAATTTTATATAAAACTCAGAAAAATTTTATGTTTAAACCAAAATTACTTTTATTTTCAAAAAAACTACCCGTTGCCATGGCAACACAAAAAAACATCAACTTACTAGTATAAAACTAATATGAACTTTTTTCCAGAGACATTTTAGGAAAGGTCTCCAAATTTGATACTTCTAGCGCAAGCCGTTTAGCCGCTATC